ATCATAAGCAATAATAACACTTAATGGCTTATTGGTCAAGTGGAACGGAGATGCAAAAAGAGGATAATGAATGGAGAAACCATGGGATCAAGGAATAGAGGTTGTTATAAATTTATGCCATATTAGGCAAAAACTAATTATTTTTAACATTCATGTGCCTATAAATCGTACCACTCCAATGGTCTCTTTTCGGCAGAACTAACACTATTTCAAAACGTTACGTTCACCAACACTATTATAGTGTTGAAAAGGTATTTTCAATCATCAATTTTCTTTTCAAGAGCACCACTTTACCACTGCAACAGTTAATTTATTCAAGATATTTGGTATGTTATGCATAATACATCCCCTCAATAAAAGTCTAAAATGAGTACTACATGCATGTGAAGTAATGCACGCATCACATCGTATCATGCTTACTGAGTGCAGAATATTAAATGGATGAGAATGTGCATATGCAGGTATGCATATGACTACAAGTACTTGTGTCTAAGCATGCATGTAACTTCCATAAAATTTGTATCACAAGCAGACCTAAGTAATGATCCACATTAAACCAACAGGAGCATATTAATAAAATACCACAAAGAAAGTAGAACATACAGGTTGATGGACTCCCCTGTTGACAATCAGTCATTGTAAGTACAGTCTCTTTTCTTGATGCATATTCTTCAGGAAATTGCTCCTCCAAAAAATGCTTCAGAACCAAACAAACATTTGGGAACCCATTTGGATGAACACTTGGACATAAGTGGCAACTACACGCCTTATTTCCTGGATTGATGATGCAAGCTTCACAATATACTGCAAAAAGGAAGATGCTGAAAAAATATGAATTTTCCAATAATAATCTATTTCCCAATGCACAGAATGGCTATTTAAAGTGGTAAGGTTTACCATGGCCACAATTGAGAACTACAGGTCGACAGAGAAGTTGCTTGCACAAAGCACACAGCAGATCAGTAATAAATACCCGCTGGCAAGTTCCATGTGCAATTTTATCTCCAGGCATACTAATTTCTTGACCAACCACATCCCCCATGGCTTGATAACTCGATGTGGTAGTTGTATTCTCTTTATCAGGTCGATTAATTTCGGATGAAGATTTAATTAGAGAAGTTTTCCCTTCACATGAACCATATTCTAAATGCCACCTTTCATGTAAACTGGTAGTAGAATGTGGAGAAGAGGCATCTTTATTATCTAACTCCGTACCAAAACTGGATGCCGATAGATAATCATCAAATTGGGGTGAGAAGGATCCAGATTTCTTCTCTTCTTCTGGAACATTGAAGATGAAACAGAATGACATTAGATACTACCACTCTATTAGATACTAGGATTCAGTACACTGTACACAATAGGTCACTAAAGTTTGCAGTGATTTTAATTTGGTCTTTAACCTTTTGTTCTTGTAAATTTTGTCCTTGAAACTAATGACATTGCTCCAATGTGGTCCCACGTATTAATACATGACTGATATTGAGGGACATTTTTTGTCATTTAGTATCCAAATAATGGAAATTCAAAAAATCAAAGAAAAAGAAAAAATAGAGGTCGCCTCCCTCTCACAACCCATCCACCGCAAGGATCCACCCCGAACACCAAGCAACTGTAAACTCCAACTTGCCACTCTCTAACGAACACCTGCAAAGATTCCCTTTTGTTAACATACTTTGAACCAACCCCCTGCCACTATCTCTGCACACAATAGACACCCACTCCTCCAACACCTCCCCCCCTCCCCCCCCAAAAAAAAAAATAATAATAATAATAATAACCCAAACCCACCTTTCAAACTCCATAACATTTCCTTCACCTTTCAAACTGATGGTGGGCGACATTTCAATCATTGTTTATCTCAAAAGAGCATAAATTCAAAAGAAAAAGAGATTAAGATGCCTCCCATTCTCTATCACCCCATCCACCCTCCATGCAAAGATATACCCGAACTCCAAGCAATCATTGTCGTTCCCATTAACCACCCATTCTATCTGTCTCTCTAACCAATAACTGCAAAGCTACCCATTCTCTAACATGCTGCAAACAGCCTAAACAACAAATGCCCACTCCTCTCTCTCTATCTCACATTCAGTCCCAACCACCACCAAAACCCACCTTACAAACTCCGCACTATTTCCTCCAAAAGAATGAAAATAGGATACAAAAGTTCAAATTCCTTCAACCTTCGTACATTTTAACAACTTAAAATACAACATAAATGAACCTCTTTCCCATATAACCCTAAATAACTCAAACAACCATAAAAAAAAAAAAAAAAAATTCCACTTGAATTCATTCAAACTTTAAAACATTTCCTCAATGGAATAAAAACCAAAATTTTATTCAAATCCTTAAAAGGATTGGGATTTTCTCCTCATCAACTTCTAAGATAAAGATAAGATCCATTGGAGTTCGTTGTAACTGCTTCCATAGAAAGTGGTCCTGCCATAGATATTCTGGAGGTGTGGGAAAGCTGAGGTTTGCTCTGCATATGTGTTTGATCTGCTGCCAAGACAAAGTTCTCATGGAGTTTTAGCGAAACCATGAATGGAATTTTAAGAGAGAGAAGAGGTGGGTTTTTTGTTGTTTGCTAGAAACTTGGAATGAGTTTGCAATCATTGGTTAGAGAGAAAGAGTGGTGGGTTGACAAGGATGGGGGTGGTTGCTTTGCGTTTGGGTGGGCCTTTGTGGTGGATGGAGTGGTAGAGAGATTAAGACGGAGAGGAAGGCAGCCTCTTTTTTTTTTTTTACTTTTTATTTTGCATTTATGTCTTTTTTATATATACAATGACAAAAATGTCTCAATATCAGTCCTGTGATACAAACATGATTTTTTCGATCCAAAATTCTAATAATCGTTAAAAGAGTGGATACGTTGAAGCAAATGACAATATTTGAAGGCCAATTTGAGAAAACTCAAAGATTAAGGATCAATTTGAAATTTCCAACAAATTTCAAGGACCAATGAATGATGTAGTAATTAACCCTAGATAATACAGACTAAGAAATGATAATATTAACCAGTCTGGTACTACATGCTTCAACAGAGGTGAGCACAGTAGTGATATAGAGCTAGTAACTTAAAAGACAGTTTAACAGAAAGGCAAATTAAAATTTAAGTTAAAAAATACAACATCAATTCATTATATAAATCCCTTAGAATTTCAAATGATGAACCATATTGCACCAATACAGAGATGTCAATTTAACTAGGCATACAGTCAGACAGATCCAAAACCATATCGACCATCTGGTTCTTTTGTGATCAATATTGGTAGATATATATACTGGTAAAAATTTTAAAGCTTGGCTGCTCCAACTATATAGTCAAACCAACTTGATCCTTCTGGATTTTATCTTTATTTTTCTGCATCATATGTCCAAGCTTGGGTTATTCTGATATAGAATTGACTGAGACTGATTCAGACTTTAGACCAAGTTAAAAGGTGGGGTAAATCAATGAAAGCTGATAACAGTTTTCTTCTCCGATGTATGATGTGTGTGCATATATCAAGCCACTTCTCAATCTATGATTCATTAATAAAGTTTCAATGCTACAAGGTTTTAGGCCAGGATACACTTAAGAAGGAAATACGTTAGATCATGGGCAAGGAAACTCATTACTTTAAACATCCCACAGATTTATTTAGCGAAATAGGCCTTGCTACACTTTTTTTTTCCCATATCTGCATTACTTTTTCACATGCAAATGCATAGTTTATGAATATTGCAGGACAGTAGAGAACTGTATCATGCCTTGTGGGTGTATGTGTGAGTGTTGATATCGAGCCACTTCTCAATATATGATTCTTACAGAGTCGCAAACCTACAAAAGGCCTTGATGCATCTAAGAAGGAAATTGGTTAAACCATGGAAGCGGAGTCTTACATTTCACATTAAGAGCAGTCATTTGGCATAGGCCACTCTACAGTTAAACTTTTCCACTTTTGACATCATTCATTGTGGATTAGAACAAGGAAGAACAAATTTAGCCCCTTTAAACACCACCAGATTCTTGGTTTCATGCCCCATAGAACTGATTTACAAAGAGACCTTACCTTCATGTCCTTCATCCACAAAGGAAACATGAATTTTCAATGTGCGCTTTGGCCCATTAAGAAATGTTGGTATAGCTTGGAAATAAAGCCCATCTTTTTTAAATTGTAGCAGTTTTGGAATAGCTTGAAATATCAAACACATCTTTGAATAAAATGTGGTCACATTCTGTGCAAATCATAAGTCTCACTCGAATTGTGGTTGCGTTGGAGATGTATAAGTTGACTAGGCCGAGTCATCCTTATCAACTCATAGCATATCGCATAATATCCTTATGCAAAGCCGCGTTTTCGCCTAAATCTCCAGACATGTCCAACTTTTCCTATTTAACCTTTCATGTGGATCGTCCAATGTTGTAGGCGCGACGCGACCGATGCATCTTAATACCCTACAAGTCTTTGACCAATACTAAAACCTTGAACAGTGGTTGTATTTCATATATTACTTTCACTTCCTTGACTTTAAGGTAGCATTCATTTCTCGATGGTGGGTTTCCAAAGTATTGCAACACAACAATCTAAACTTATTGCTTCGTCAATATCACTCCCTAGTTTACATGATCAGCTTCAACATGTTTACATGTAGGGACTGAAGTTGTGATCAAATGGTGTGGTTCAAGCCCTTAAACTATTTTTTTTTTTTGTTTATTTCAACAAGATTCTTACATACAATAGTGACCTGAGTAGCATCTAAAGTGGTCTGGGGTTAGGACATAGACATCAAATCGGACTATCATTTAGCCGAATTAAAGTCTCCATGGTATGCCCATAGTGTTGGCATAAAGCTCTAACCTTAGACTTGGCCATTGTCATCCCTATAAGTAAATATACAACTGTCATTGAGGGAAACATTTTCAAGAAGAGCTTGAAATGTGATCCTTTACTTAAAACAATCCAACCAAGAGCAACGGTTAATCGCGTGGGTCCGTTTTTAACTGGATCCTACTTCAATATATGCTCAAGCTCATTAAAGTCAAACCTCTTCGGAAGACTTTGGCAAGCAGTATGGCGTAGTCGTTCATGCAACTCGCCAGAATTGGATGACAGAGTCACAGAACTGCACAATGTAAGAATACTTGCACGTCCCTCTTCCACCATTGTCTCCAAAGAAAAAGTAATTCTTGATATGTAAGCACCTTTTTTGCTGCCCTCTGTTTTGAGACTCTAGGGCAATAAAAACCCTAAAAGTACTCAATCTCACTCTAGATAGCAGCAACCCACTAAAGCTTTCTATTTTTGCAGGAAACTCCCTTCAGATCCAACAGCACTATCACCTCTGTGACTCACAATTTTCAGGAATTGGCTTTGTGCGATGTACTATGAATTTTACGACTCTTGCTCAAATATTTTGAACATTCGCAAGTTTTAAGCAATCTTTAAAATTTTTCAATTCAAGGCGTCAAGATATTGTAAACATTTATTAGTGGAATTAATTGTCTATATAAACCAATCTGGAGAAATGAAAGCAATAAAGTATTGAAAAAGACGCACCTAACACTTGTCTTTTCCTTCTTTTATAGGCTATTGGGTACAACTTCACAAGCAAGATATGCATCAATCTGCAGATACTAGGAAAATGATTATAGGGCTCCCGACAAACTGGACAGTGCGACTCCTGCCAACTATCCATAGCTTTGAAAACACACCAGAAGCATGAAAGGTGACCACACCCTGCAAACAAGGAAATAAGGGAACTGAACTTTGTGAAGAAACAACGACCAATTTGTAGCTTTTGCAATGCCCTTTTACCTAAGACAACTGGTTTGTACAAGAGATCCCTGAAAAATAAACAAAAAAAGGAAAATTACAATCAATCACATTATTTGTCAAAGCAAAAGCAACTTTAATGGAAAATAGTTGATTACTCACACAGAAGATAACCAAAAACCCCTTTGACGTGGTTATAATTGGGGTTTCATTGGAGATGGTTACGTGAACCAAAATTGAGTAGTGACCACTAAAAAAAATTCCATCCCCGTATCTTTTTCCACCCACACGCACACAACCTGTCCTGCAACTTTTGGTATTCTTTGAATTTGCCCAAATACCAAGTTTGTTATCAGCAAAAAAAATACCAAGTTTGTTCTTCAATCAATTTCTTGTAGCACATGCTTCCACATATAATCAGCATATTTCTCATAGATTAACAAACTAACGCCGCTGTAATTCATTCAAAAATTGCAACAAACAAATAGTACCTTACACACACACATAATACAAATCAGGAATCGCCGTAGTTCTTTTAACTCTTAACTTCAGAACGCAAGAAATATGCAAACAATCACGCAATGCGAAACCATATGTATAGCGTATAACTTACAGGCAGACGCAACACTGAAATTCATCAGGAAATTCCTCCTCTACTGCAATTTCAGCAAATTCTTTTTCCAAATTTTCCATAACCGTGCGTTTTGATGAGTTTTTCTCCTCAGATCCAATTCCAGCATGTTCTTCTCTGTCCAAAGTTGTCATCACTGCGTTTATATATGTGTATATGTGTGTTAATATATATATATATATATATAGGCCTAGGCCACTTAGTCGGCGGCTAGGCCCCAATTTTTGTAAAATTTTGGGCCCTCTAAGGTTTTTAATTATGAGTACATTTATTTTGGAGGAACTAATTTAAAAGGATTAAAATTTTAATGATAGGTCCATTAACATTTCAATAATTTATCTAAAAATTTTTTTCACTTGCCAGCTATATTAGACTGCTAGATTTCTGAAACAAGGAAGGTAAACGACTAAATGTCTCTCTCTCATCTGTGAAGGAATTAGACAAATTTTTCAGCATCACTCTATCTTTCTTACACAAATTTATTAACTGCTATCATTACTGAGATTCACTTACAAACCACAGTGTTTGTTTAATGCCACTCCCTCATGCTCTCTCTCTATGAAGTGTGAAGCTTGAATCTGAACAAAGAAAGAACACCAAATCTCTCTATTTTCTTGTAGTTCAAAAATCTATCAATTAATTGATAACGATCAAGATTCAAGGATCAAAATTTTTTGGGNAGCTGGGCTGGTAATCCTAATAAATGTGCATCTATAAATTCCCACCAGATCATAACGCAGGACTGTCCAATCAGTAGGTCCATTCTTGTACCAATGGCAAAGCAAGAAAATTATGGTAGTCGGGACAAATTTTAAAAATAATAACATAAAAAATCAAAATAATAATTAAAAAAAAACACTTTGGTGCAATTTGTCCACAATTTTTTTTTTTTAATATTAAGTACTATTTTTTATTGTTTTAGCTTTTTCTTTAATTCAATTAAAGATATTTTTTTAATTTATTAAAATTAATTGTGACAAGAAAGAAGGGGTGAAATATAGGGAGCCACGTAAGACCCTATCAACAAAAAACTTTATGCATAATACTAGGGTAAGACTAAGTTAACTAGGGATGTTTTCAATCAAAAAGCTCACCTTGTGTACTGTCCACCTGTGATATTACTCCCCCTAATCCGTGATGGTATAGAAATTGACTGATGTAAAGCCAAAAAGAACTTGTCGCTAACTGCCACAGCCATTTGTGCTCTGTAATACAGCCCACATTAAAAATTCGATTTTATTAAAAATTTTGGATGGGAGAGATGGGATATCTAAGACGAGAGAAGGGAAAGGATACAACTATTTACATGGTTCAGCCTAATTAAGCTTTTATTCACGAATATAATTCTCAAAAAGACTTTCGCTTTCATTGATTGTAATTTACATCGTGGATTTGTGTGTATTTTGATACAAGGGAAACACCTATATTTATATGGTTATATGAATAGACAAAGTTTTCAGTCACGTTGAATTATTAAAAATAACGGCTTGTCTTTGTTTTCGAATTAATGGCAGGCATGTTATAAGATTTGATCCTGTTTATTGCGGAATCACCATGTTAAATTTTGGATGGGAAGAAATTCGATATATTTAAATTAAAAGAAGTGAAGAGACATAAAAATTTAGATGGTTGAAGCTATTTATATTTATATACATACACAAATTATACTCATTGAAACTTTGCAAAGAATTGGTGGGTTGCACATGAATTATACTCAAGGCTCATTTAAGGTACTAGATATTACACATGTGCAATTATTTTTGACAATCGCTTTAATTTTATATTTAACATATCGGTATATAGGTTATTTTGTTTTGAATTGAAATATTATGAAAAATTGCCTCAAATATGGTTTTTGTAATTTATAGGTCATATTCTATAGTTTAATTGTTAATATGGTAAAATACATTGGCCACATACCACACATACCTACCACAACAATCTTCTCTTTCGAAGTTTAAAGACAATAAATGATTGAACAAATTAATCTAGTCTAATTGGCAACCCTTCGATCTCTTGAGACTATATCAGCTAAGAGGTCAAGCGGTCAATTCTTGTCAAATGCAAGATTTATGGGTCGTTTGATAGCGTTTTTGTTTTTGTGTCTTCAAAAAACTAAAAACAGAGACAATTTTTTGTCTCTATTTTATGGTAAATACTGAAACAAAAAACATGTTTGGTAGTCATTTTTGTCTATCAAATTATGAGAATAAAAACAGAAAACATGTTTGGTAACTATCTCAAGTTTTGTCCTAAATATGTTTTATAATACCTCATTTTTTGTTTTCAAACAAATCAACATTTTATTTCATGAAAAATGATTTACAACCATGAATTAAAGGCATTCAACAAAGCACTAATCTTGCACAGCCAAATTTTCAAAAAAATTAGCCATGAAATTTGCCTCCCTATACACATACCCAATTTGATATTGCAAGAACACCTAAATGAGGAACCCAACTCACCTAAAAGGCCTTAACCTGCACCTTACCGCAATCAATCCCCAAATCAAACAACCTAAATAAAATACAAATAGACGTTATATTACATCAAAATACAAATCCAAAATTTTCATAAGGGCTTTGCTAATATAAATATTCCTTTTCTATGAAGAAAAATGGAACAGAGAAGAGAGTTTCTTTATCTTGGTGGTCAATGGATCATGTCTTACCCATTATCATTCCCCATTATTCCCCAATGTTTGTTTTTTTTTCACCTCACTTGGAAGCATGAATCACACATAAGCGAATGTGTACAAAGAGTTGGTATTCTACATAAAATGGCTAAGGTCACTCAAGAGTGGTTTATATTGTAAAAGAGTCTCTCCACTCATTTCCAAATGATTTTGCGTTGGTTGCTTTACCATTTGTAACAATTCGAAAAGCAAATTTTCACATCATATTCTTTTTGTCGTTTCTCTCTTGGGATATTCAAATGATTCAAACAGTTCCCAATCATCAACATATGAAACATCAGATTATTTAGGAGAAGATACAAAGGCCACATCTANGTAAATACTGAAACAAAAAACATGTTTGGTAGTCATTTTTGTCTATCAAATTATGAGAATAAAAACAGAAAACATGTTTGGTAACTATCTCAAGTTTTGTCCTAAATATGTTTTATAATACCTCATTTTTTGTTTTCAAACAAATCAACATTTTATTTCATGAAAAATGATTTACAACCATGAATTAAAGGCATTCAACAAAGCACTAATCTTGCACAGCCAAATTTTCAAAAAAATTAGCCATGAAATTTGCCTCCCTATACACATACCCAATTTGATATTGCAAGAACACCTAAATGAGGAACCCAACTCACCTAAAAGGCCTTAACCTGCACCTTACCGCAATCAATCCCCAAATCAAACAACCTAAATAAAATACAAATAGACGTTATATTACATCAAAATACAAATCCAAAATTTTCATAAGGGCTTTGCTAATATAAATATTCCTTTTCTATGAAGAAAAATGGAACAGAGAAGAGAGTTTCTTTATCTTGGTGGTCAATGGATCATGTCTTACCCATTATCATTCCTCATTATTCCCCAATGTTTGTTTTTTTTTCACCTCACTTGGAAGCATGAATCACACATAAGCGAATGTGTACAAAGAGTTGGTATTCTACATAAAATGGCTAAGGTCACTCAAGAGTGGTTTATATTGTAAAAGAGTCTCTCCACTCATTTCCAAATGATTTTGCGTTGGTTGCTTTACCATTTGTAACAATTCTAAAAGCAAATTTTCACATCATATTCTTTTTGTCGTTTCTCTCTTGGGATATTCAAATGATTCAAACAGTTCCCAATCATCAACATATGAAACATCAGATTATTTAGGAGAAGATACAAAGGCCACATCTATGACCAAATCAATTGATGAAGCTTTTTAAATCACCAAAATACATACAAAAAAAAAGGTATCATGAAATAATATGCAGGAAGCCTTCACTTGTGCAATTCCCAAAATTGTTCCAAGATTATTATGTCTTTGCCTGCAATGGTTTGGCATACAATTTATAAGAAATTAGAAATTGCTAATTTTTTGTATAGATTTAATCCATGTTAAACAGTTCATGTAACACTGAAATCAGAAATTTTTTGAATAATAAATAGCTCAAAAGATAAATATACAATGGAAATAAGCAGTAATCTAATTCTTCAAAAATTTGAAAGCAATGGGCTAGTTCAATTCCAATCTCAATCTCAATTCAATCACAAATACAACACACAACACACATAGAACACAATGCGCACACACACAGCACACAAAACACACACACACACCAATCACACAAAACACACATGCAACACACATAGATCTGTGCATATATGCATTTATGTGCACAGATCTGTGTATATATATGCATATATATATACATATATATACAGATATATAAAATTATATGTNTAATCTCAATCACAAATACAACACACAACACACAACACACATAGAACACAATGCGCACACACCCAGCACACAAAACACACACACACACACCAATCACACAAAACACACATGCAACAACACATAGATCTGTGCATATATGCATTTATGTGCACAGATCTGTGTATATATATGCATATATATATACATATATATACAGATATATAAAATTATATGTAATTGTAATACTAATAAATGAATTCAAAAGAATTTAGAAATCCTTATGAAAGGGTTCAAAAACAAATTGAAAGTCAAACAGCTATAAAAAAAAAAAAATTAGATGAAAGTATAAATGCGGGATATATAATAATTAGGGATAAAATCAAAAATTAAAATTTTTTCACAAATGCTCACATTATAAGGAGTATAGATGTTGAAACAATTAAATAAATATACACCAATGAATCAAAGTATATGTCTTTTGATACTTGTTGTCTAGATATGTTATATGTTGCTATGTGTTCCAAACACCATAGTCTTCCAAGAAGTTAGACTACATGCTAAATTAATTACTTCAAGGCTGATTGGTCGCCCCTATGAATACTAGAAGGTTGATTGAGATTTTATGTTTATCTGTGGAAAATCTATTGCACTTTATCGATAATGAATCTAATATCTTCTCCTGATGTTTTGGTATACTCTTAAAGGCATGGATAGACCCATTACATGACTAAAAAGGGAAA